GCTCTATGCCCTTAAATGGTCTGTCTTCTCCGCCTGGTGTACAGTCCGCGGCGCAGACCCAATCTCATGTGACATATCTCTGATATTGTCCTTCCTGCAAGAGCTGTTGGATAAGGGCCGTTCCCCTTCCACGCTCAAGGTCTATGTAGCAGCCATAGCAGCCTCTCACGCTCCTATAGCTGGCCAATCGGTGGGCAGGAACAACTTGGTTGTTCATTTTCTGAAGGGGTCTAGAAGGCTCAACCCGCCTCGCCCCATCACTGTCCCTACATGGGATCTGCCGACAGTGTTGAGGGCTCTGAAGAGCCCTCCATTTGAGCCACTACAGTCCATTGACCTTCGTCCCCTGACGCTTAAGACTGCTCTGCTTCTAGCATTAGAATCGGTAAAGCGTATGGGAGATCTGCAGGCGCTATCAGTGAGCCCCACCTGCCTCGAATTCGGGCCCAACGACTCTAAGGTCGTCCTGAAACCAAGGCATGGTTATGTACCTAAAGTGCTCTCTACTCCATTTATTCGGAGTAAGACCAAGAGTTGAACTTACTCTGTCCCGTCAGGGCGCTGAAAGTATATGTTGAGCGTTCCGCCCCGTTCAGGCAGTCGGATCAGCTATTCGTATGCTTCGGTGGCCGCACCAAGGGTTGTCCGGTTACGAAGCAGAGACTTTCCAAATGGATAATTGACGCAATTATGCTCGGCTGCCGAGCCATTGGTTCGTTTTTTATTCACTGCATGAACCAATGACCATAAAGTTACACTGCATTATTGAAAGGCTTCAGTCATTGGAGAAAAAGGAGTTTTCCCCAAGCGTCTTAAACAGATGCAGTACTCGTTCCGTATCTCAGGGAACCGAGGTTACGTTAGTAACCGAGTACTTTTCCTTTATCAGCAGCACAAAATTAAATGTAATACTCAAATACTGCCATCCATACTTATGTACATAGTTTAAAAGTGTTAGGTCAAATTAATATAATGTTTAAATACTTCATTAAACAGTAGACCAGCAATTCCCAGATGATATCCGGAACAGTGCCATTCTGAGGAACTAGAAAAAAAAAAAACTGAAAAAGACATGACAGTCATGACCAAATTTTCCTAAGAGTGTTAGGTCAGTGCACTGAAGCGAGATGAGGGACCGGGGTATCTCAGTAGCTGCAGTGGTGCTAACCAGTGTCACAGGAATTTTGGGTTAATGCTGTTAATCCTATCAGCATGCTTTAGGAGGAAGCCGTAATCGCGTTCCTCCTACCCCTGATGAACCGGAGACTGAGGACGTCTCCGACACCGCCAGAGTTTCCTTTATCAGCAGCACAGCCCCCGATTCATCCGCAACCTTATTAGAGTCAAAGCGCCTTTCTTTTTGAGTTCCCCCACCCCCAACAACTTTCTCCAACGCATCTTGTTCTACTGTGTGAAAAATTCATTTCATTAATCTGTCTCATTTGGTTTGATGGCACATTTCTTTTGTCAAGCACTGTGGGTAAAAATGGCTCACCAAGCTTATCTGTCTCAACTGAAGACAAAGTAACTGCTTGCAGTTTCTGTCGACTCCAGGCTTACCATCCTAAAAGTATGATTTATGAATTTGATGTTTTCAGATTACTTTATTTATTGCAAATAAAAGGACATGACTCCTCTTGTACTGTCAGTACAAGAGATGGCGTGCAAACCTTTTAGTAACGCTGAAGTAAAGCCGTGTTATATTAAAGCAGCACTATGTAACTTTTTCTGTGTTCAAAATTTGCAAAATGTATATAATGAGCGAGTATATCATGAATTCATCTTCCAAACCGTGTTTTTGTCTTATTCCGTATCACTACGGTACACTTATAATAAGTACTTATATTTGGACTATTGTAGCCTGGTCGGGTCGTCACCGCTGCGGAGTAACACATACCTGCGTGAATCGCCATAGACATAAACTTAGAGAAGTAGCTCCGGTTGGAATGTTCTTCCGCGGGATGTGTGCAGTTTTGTTTATTAACCGCTAGAGCGCCAAAAGTTACATAGTGCTGCTTTAAGGCACAATTCCCACTTTGCATGTCGACAGCGATGCTTATGAATGTCTGGCAGGACACATATGTTGCTGTACGTGCTGATGATGGAGCGATAGGCCACAAGCAGTTGAATAATTCAGTGTGTTTTGGAAGGGTGGGCTGACGTCTGCGAGCTCACCAATGAAAACAGAGCACAAATGCTAAGAACAACAGAGCGCTGCCTAGAGTT